AGCACTTGGAGTAAAATGGGGTAGGGGGCAGGCATTGTGGCGCAGCAGGTGAGGTCGCTGCTTGGGATACACACATCCCCTATTGGAGTGCCCAGTTCATGCCCCAGGTACTCCACTTCCCACCCAGTTTCTTGCTAATGTGCATCCTGGGAAGCAGCAGATGATGGCTTAAGTCTTGGGTCCCCACCACCTTCATGGGAGGCCCAGGCTGAGTTCCACGTTCCTGGCTTCAGCCTGGCCCAGTCCCAGCTTTTGCAGGCTTTAGGAGAATGAACCAGCAGATGGAAGATACGTCTATCTCTGTGTCTCTGTGTCTTTCAAATAAACATTAAAATGAAGGAGGAAGAGAAGGAGAAGAAAAGAAATAGGCCAGCATTTGGCTAGTTTGCCTAAGAAGCCCATGTCCCATATTGGAGTGCCAGGGTTCAATACCCAGGTCCAGCCTGTCGCTCCCCGTCTTCGTGGAGGAACGACACAGGACCCTGCGCTGTTCTTTCGTCTGCTCGGCCCTCCCCGGGTTTGCTGCTGGTTCTTCCCGGGTTGGCTACCGACCCTTCCACCTCCGTGGAAGGGCGGTTCCCCCTGCCACATTCCCCACTTCCGCGGGGGAGTGGCACACCGCCAGCCGGCTCTCTCGGGGGCTGCACAGGTGTTCCCCTTAGATGTTCCCCTTAGATGTTCCTCTTAGATGTTCCTGGTGCATGCCGTCTCTCTCCTCCTTTATAGTCCTCCTCCGCCAATCCCAACTCGGCTGCCCACACGCCGAGTACGCTGCTCTCCTCCAATCAGGAGCAAGTCCTACAGTTTATTGGCTGAACTGGAGGCAGCTGTGTAGAAGCTGTTTTCTTCTCTCCCAGCGCCATATTGTGGGAGACCAGATGCATAGAATAAGTCTTAATTCCAGCAACTTAGTCCAGTCCGAGTTGCTCCCCACAGATCCCCCTTTCTTTTTATTTTTTGGCGTTGATACGCGCCTGTCTTCGGTGTCCCGCGGCACACACTCTGCTCTACTTGCTAGAGTTGCCACAGGTTCTTACAAGTCCTATCAATCAGGCAAACCGAATCCAGGTCCTCTCTTCGCCATGTTGTGAGGAGGTTTTTAGGCGCTGATGCGTGCCTGTGTTCGGTGCCCTGCAGCGCATGCTCTGGTCGAGCTGCCTGCTGGTGCTTATCGCCCTAATCAGGCAGACCGAATCCAAGCTCTCTCATTGCTGTGTTGTGGGGAGACTATTGATGTTAATAACGTGCCTGTCTTCGGTGACCTGCGGCGCATAAGCTGCTAGCCGCCCGCAGGTGCTCATTGCCTCACTAATCAGGCAGACCGAATCCAAGCTTTCTCATTGCCATGTTGTGGGGAGGCCTTTCTATTTCTCTATTTCTCTATCTCCGGGCATTCCTATTTCTCCCATTTTACTTCTGTCTGCCAACATTCCTATTTCTCTCATTTTACTTCTAAACTTCTGTTTCTCTAATCCTTGCGGCTTCCCGGCGCCCGCCCCGAGGTTGCTTCTCGGCGGCTTCCCGGCTCTGAGCCACTTCAGCCCGCGCTTCTCCGATCTGCGCGGCCTCCCGGCTTTGCGCGGCTTGGCTTCGCGCACGCACTCCGCGGTCTCGCACTAGCCCAGCGTTCCCTATCTACTTGTGCCCCGCACGCTCTCTCTGCGCACGGCAGCCTCCGCGAGTCACACAGCGTAGCTTACGTCTCCACCACTAGCATTCAATCCAAGTTCCCCGGACTAACCTGGCGAATTCTAACCTGGCGGCCCACGTCTCTGCGTCTGGTTCCAGATCTTTGCCTCTTGCTCCCCGGGGTGACTTGAAGAATTCCAAGGTGGCTTACGTCTCCGCCTCGGCCTGCACTCGCGGCTTCATCCTCCCTAACATTTTTCTCTACCCGGTATGTTTCCCTAAGTTTTCTTCCAACAATATTCCTCCCTCATTTCTCCTGGCCTCTCCCCACAGTCCGTATCCAAGTCTAAGTTTCTTATAGGTTTCACTTTCACTTTCAACCTGCAGTCCGTATCTGAGTCTAAGTTTCTTCTTGCTTTCACTTTAAATCCTAACTTCTTTCCCACAGTCCATATCCGAGTCTATGCCTAGGCTTTCAATAGCTTCTTCCGGCACCTTTTCTGTCCGGCTTTTCCCTAGGCTGTTTGCTAGTCTTTCTCTCCGGCATTTTCCACTTCTTCCCGTTTCTTCCCTCCTAAGTTTCCTATCCGAGTCACGGCACCATTATGTCGCTCCCCCTCTTCGTGGAGGAACGACACTAAACCCTGCCTAGGCTTCCTATCCGAGTCACGGCACCATTATGTCGCTCCCCGTCTTCGTGGAGGAACGACACAAGACCCTGCGCTGTTCTTTCGTCTGCTCGGCCCTCCCCGGGTTTGCTGCTGGTTCTTCCCGGGTTGGCTACCGACCCTTCCACCTCCGTGGAAGGGCGGTTCCCCCTGCCACATTCCCCACTTCCGCGGGGGAGCGGCACACCGCCAGCTGGCTCTCTCGGGGGCTGCACAGGTGTTCCCCTTAGATGTTCCCCTTAGATGTTCCTCTTAGATGTTCCTGGTGCATGCCGTCTCTCTCCTCCTTTATAGTCCTCCTCCGCCAATCCCAACTCGGCTGCCCACACGCCGAGTACGCTGCTCTCCTCCAATCAGGAGCAAGTCCTACAGTTTATTGGCTGAACTGGAGGCAGCTGTGTAGAAGCTGTTTTCTTCTCTCCCAGCGCCATATTGTGGGAGACCAGATGCATAGAATAAGTCTTAATTCCAGCAACTTAGTCCAGTCCGAGTTGCTCCCCACACCAGCCCCTGACTCCAGCTTCCTGCTAATGCAGACCCTAAGAAGAAGCAGTGATGATAATTAGCTGGGTCCCTGCCACACATGTGGGAGACCTAGACCGAATTCCTGGCACCTGGTCTCAGTCCCAGCTGCAGGGTCTGGCAGGCCTTGACCAGATCCCGTGAGGACAGGGGCTGTCCACTGCACCACTTCTGAACCCCAGGGTCCCTGAGCAGTGTATCTGTTAAGAACTTGCTGTGAGCCAGCACACACAGCTCCTCTGAGCTTTCGTCAAAGGAGATGGCACACACAGTGTGTCCAACCCAGTCTATTGTGTAGTGGGTGTTCAGTAAGTGTGGAGAATGCTAGTTGCCCACCCCAACGTCCAACATTCTCAGCGGATAAACATTGTTCTGGGGCAAGGATGGGCCATCCTGAAAGAAGACCTTTTCCAGGCTCCCTTGCAGATGAGGCCATGGGCCTCAGTTCTGGCCAAAGGGGTGCAGGCGTCAGCATCAGCAGGGCTTGTGGGAACACCCCTCGGGGGGAGCTGGTTCATCTGCGGGGAGGGGCTGCTGTTGCCTCCCCATTGCGTCCTCTCTGCCTGCTACACTTGGAAGACAGGCAGGACGGCTGAAAGTGCCCGTGCCATCGGGTGATGGATGCAGACAGGCACTTGCTGAGGACAGTGAGCCTCAGGGTAAGAGGCAAAGTTCCTATTGTCACTGTGAAGCTCTCTTGCCAACCACTATGGACAGCCCTCAGAGTCCTCCACATGCAAGGGACATCCCCTTCCCAGCTGCCTAAGCCACAGATCCTCAGCACAGTAGTCCTCCAGCATGGGTGGACATCAAAATCACCAGGCACTCGGCACAAAGACACAGGCCAGGCCCTCTCAGGCTGAAGAAGCCTGGGCCCCTGGGTGCCAGGTGATGCTGACACTGCCAAAGTTTGAGAAGCACTGCTTCAGGCCTCTCTGCTCTAAGCTGCCCCATGAGATCTTATACTTCCCTGCAGGTGTTGACCCCAAGACAGACAACAGACAATCAAAGCAGTTTCCTAGCTTGCAACTTCATTTCTAATGTGAAGCAGAGACAGACCTGGACGAGTGGCCACTGCACATCCACCTAAGCAGCTGTAGCAGATGCTAGTGGACATGCGGCCCACCCACCCATGGGCTGCCCTGTCCAGGTCTCCAGTCCCAAGAATCTGCTCTGGGCACTGCCTGGGGTGGCACTGTTGAACATCGAGGACAGCCACCAAGGTGTCCCCGTGGAAGTTTTCAGCTGAGCCTCAACAACGCAGTTCTCAGCCTCAGAGGGCGAGGGGTGGGTGTGTGTGTGTGTGTGTGTGTGTGTGGCGGGGTTCGGGGAAGGGGGAGGTCCAGCCTCCTGACTTCTGCCTTCTGGCCCAGCTGCAAAAACGACCGGATGAGGAACCACAGTGCTCGTGGGTTGCCCTTGGTCATGGCGGCTCCACAGCAGGCAAAGTCTCCCAGAAGGGCTGAAAGCCCAAGGACGAGGTTGGGAGCCTCCCTCTCCCACCCCCAAGTTCAAAGGCAGAGCCTTTCTAAACAAAGTACCCTGGCTACTTATTGTCTGTCTGCCTGCCCAGCTGTGACCTCTTTATGTCAATCACAGAGGACAGGCTTTTGCTCTCTCCTTCCTCTCTTTCCAAAGCAAACCACTTTTTCTTTTTGCTGACAGAGAAGTGTGGGTTGTAGGCCTAAAGTAGCACAAGTCTTTAAAGCCCCATGGCTGAGTTCAGACAGTTACAAAACTTTGTCCTATCTGGCACTTTGATTACACTCAGTTCCTGAGACTTTAAGAAGCCCGCTCATCTGTCTGCTTCGGCCAGCCACACTTGGCAAACAGGTACGACTCTCTAGGCTGCCAGCTGCAACGGGGAGTCCCTCAGACAATAGAAAGCTCAGGTGAGTCACTCAACACACCTCCCCGAGCCCTGGCGCAGTGTCCCACCCACCCCAGGTGGCCTCAGTGAGAAGACCCCAGGGCTCTAACGTTGAGGAGAGGGTGGGCCCAGGCCTGACCACCTAGAAGCCCCAAGGCCACTGCTGAAGTAGAGCTGAACTGTTGCTGTTAGAGACCCACACATGCGGCTGCGATGCCCAGGCAGGGGCTCTGGAAAGACAAGGAGGCTCTGCCTGAAGACCCACCCCGCTGCTGCCCACCAAGAGGCCAGCCCAGACCCCAGGGACTCACCTTGTGTTTATTTCTGGTAGTGAGCGGAGCCTGAAGAGCCGCCGCCTCCTCCTCGAATGGCATGGACAGCTGTCGGAGACGAGGCCGGGTAGTGTCCAGGGCGGATGGGTTTGGCTGGACCAGGTGACAGAAGAAGAAAACACTCAGGAGGGGCTTACACAGCAACCAGGGACCCGCAGGGGACGAATGTCACCCATGCCACAGTTCTCACCCACCAGCAGACCTTTCAGAAATGGGCCATGCGCCCTCCCATCAGGATAGCTGGAGAAGCCAGGCACCCAGAGAACCTACATCAATTATTTATTTTTAATTTGGGTTGAGAAAAATTAGAAACAAAGGCCTTGGAACTTTTTCTGAGGTAGGCCCTTGTGGATTTCACAGGGACCTGGGGAGCCCCTGAAACTGGACAGGAAGTTCTCTCTATGTGGAGAGTGTACCCAGGCTTCCAGTAGGTTCTCAAGGGTATGAAATCAAAGAAATGCACTGAGCTATTAATCTAAGGTCTGCTTTTAAAACTAGAAACACGAGGCTGGTTTCAACAGACCTGCACAGCACTACTATCTGATGTTAACATTACACATTATTGGCGATGTTTCAGTGAAACAAAATAACCCTCTTTAGGAAACATCTCTAAAATTCCTTTATGCCTATGGCTTCATCCTGGGAACTGTAACCCTCCATCCCTGTGTGGGCAAAATGCCCAGGTAATGGAGGGGCTACAGCTCTGGGCCCCTGCAAGCCCTGAGGCCAGGCTGTAACCACCACACCCTGCTCACTGGTGCCAGCCCAGCTCTTTCCCGGGTATTTCCAAACCAGATCTTGCAAGCTGATCTCCCCAAGGCTCCTGGCTACAGGAGGGCTCCTTTGCAGACCCACCTGGTACAGTACACAAGACGCCTTGCTGTATACAAATCTGTACATTCCAGAATTTTTAACCATGTACCTCTGACAGCCATAAAGCCTGATTGATCTTGGGAGAAGGGGAAAGCCAGGCATCTGCGATCCTACTCTGGGATACCCCAGTGCATCCTGGGGGCCTCAAAGCATGGAGCTAAGCACAGAAGCCAGACTACACCGCAGGCACAGGTGTTCGCCATACACAGGGACATAATCTTTCAGACATTCCACAGAGGGCCGGCACAGCATGGATCCTGCAGGGCCAGCCTCCCAGCTCCAGGACTCCAGGGCCCCCACGCACATGCACATGCGCACACGCACCTATCTGGGCCGAATGGGCTCTCCGGGCCATGTTCTTGGCGCGCACCGCCTCCTTGATGCGGTCCACCTCCTGTTGGTAGCGCTTGCGGTCCCGCATGGCGTTCTCCTTGGCCTCCTTCAGCGCGCTCTCCAGGGCCTTGACGCGCTCCGCTGTGGCGCGCAGCCGCTTCTCCAGCTTGGGCAGCTCACAGCGCAGGTCCGCGTTGTCTCGAACCAGCTGAGTGCAGACAGAGAGTCACCGAGGCAGCAAGGGCCAACCACACACGGAACAGCTAGAAACGGCCCTGTAGCTCATCCACCACCCCAGCCAGGTGGGCTCTGGCAGTCCACAGGGCCACGGCTCAGTCAGTACTGGGAAAAGCGCTCCTGCCCCCTAGGACCGCAGTCTGCTAAACACACAACTCCCAGGGTGCAAGGAACAGGGGGTAGAGTTAGGAGCCGTTTCCAAGAACAGGAAAATTCCCATTTTGAGTAGGATTTACTTCCTCTTTGGTTTGGATGGGTGTGGGGCAGAAGAGCTATGGTGAGACAAATTACTACTAGGACTTTAGAATGAGCCAGCTGAGAAATTTTAAGCACCCAGTGAAAAACTTGTGTTCTTGAGCTCTCTGGGGGCCTCCTTCCCTGCAGGACTCAGGGTCTACCCTGGCATGTGGTTAGAACCCAGAGTTGCTACATATGCAGAGGCTAACCCCAGTAAGAAGCAGCAGGCTAGCCCTGGGCGAACAGTGAGCTCAAGGGGCAGCTCTGACCACCACAAGGCTTGGGCTTCTCACCTATCAAACGAGTCTGTTACATAACAGGGCCCTTGTGGGAATCCAAATGGATCAACTAGAGTTTTGAAAATCAGAAGGTGTGAGAAGGACAAACAGTGAGCTTCGGCTGGTTGCACCTGCTCTGTTTACCAGCTTCACTGCCTGGCAGACAGTGGGCTTTTGATAAACATTTGTTGAATTCATGAATAGGATAATAGGTTGCACAGCCCCACATCAAGTCGCCTGTCAGTTCCTACTTCCATATTTCTCATCACCTATTTGCTTGAATGACTTCAGCCATGCCAAATCTGCAATCTTCCCTCTGGGGAAAATGCCACATCAGTGCTGCTGAAGATCTAACAAGTCAAAGAGAAACGGCATCCCCTCAGTCACTGAGCCAACAAGGTGGCTCGTCTCCACCACTTCTTAAATTCTAACGCAGGAGAACAGTCAAGGACATGGCAGCATACAGACAGGAAGGATGCAAGCCAAATGGCCTGCCTGGATCACCAGTGGGTTTGCACACAACTGTCGTCTGTTGCTCTGGACACACACCAGGGCGTGGCAAGGATCCAGGAGGACACCCAGGATCACCAGGAATAGGGCAACAGAGCAGGGAGTGACTGTTCCAGTCCCATTTTACCCACTCTGGAAAAAAGCAAGTCACATCCTCTCTGTAAAAATAAGAGACCTGAACCAGCTCAGCAATGTATACTTTGCATTCTGTAGAGAACTTTGAGGTCATGGGAGATACACAGGCCAGTTGGGATCCAAGGTCGGAGGTGGAGGCAGGATGTTGGCTTCCCTCAAAGAGTGTACTTTCTATTGACAGGAAGTCACTGAGGGCTAAGAGATCTTCAAGGACCCCTCTAGCACTCACTCTGGTGATGTGCATATGTGGTCTCCTTGCCTTTAATACCAAAGCCTTCTTACTGCATTGCAACCAAACCTAGTGGGGCTTCCTTTCTCGAGAAGAGAAGCAGAGGGGAGCGGCCAGGACTCTCCTACCTGCTTGTGCACCTTGGTGAGCTGCTCCAGGTTGTTTTCCAGGAAGGAGATTTTCTGCTTCTGGGCAGCACTGCCCCCTCCATCATCGCTGTCCAGCTCCACACTCTGTGTCAACAGCAGTGGTCAGCGGCCAGCCCATCACACAGCCCACCCCCAGCCCCAGGACAATGTGGATAATGCATTTTAAACTTGCTTTTTAAAAAGCAAATCCCCAATCCTACTAAAGGATATCTTCAATGCAAAAATAAAGAAAAAGTTCCCAAAAGCTAAACTCAACAAACTTGCCAATGAATGTCTTTGGTATCAAAAGTGTTATTCCTAATTTTTATAAGGCTGGATGTGATGAGTACCTTCAAATCTGCTTTTGAACATTGCAGGTTAATTGTCTTGAGTGAAAGACCTCTCTTATGCAGGTAGGTAGAGACTTTTCAAAAGAAAGCATTCCAAAACTCCTCAAGAAGAACCAGGGTGAAAAATGTAAACCCAAGACTTAAATTTGATTTCAACCACCCCAATGAGATAACAAGTCCCCAAGCTTGTAAACAGTGTCTAGGGCCCCATTGTGAATTCTCAGAGGCCTCTGTTTCTGCTATCAGCTCCCAATTCTATGAAACTGTTCAGGTATCAGTGTCAAGCCAGTGTCACAGCATCCAGGTGCTGGGTAAACTCTTGAAACTTATCAGATCTTGAAACTAGTGAAAACACTGCACTCTTAGCCAACAGAGTGGCACAAATTAAACTGGGAGATTCCAGTGTAGACACATCCTGGAATTTGAAAAGGACAACAGAGGCTCACTTCATCAGACTGAAAAGAGACTGCTCATCTTCTGAGAGGCATCGGCTGGGCGAACATCTCCCACCTGCCTCCCTGCCAGCTAACGCAGGGTTCTCAGACTTCAGCCTGCGTTAGAACACCCTGGAGAAGGGTGTGTTCAGACTCGGACTGCTGGGAGCCACCTCATTCTCAGATTCCGTGGATAGCAGGTGGAGTCTGAGGACCACAGATCTAAATCAGTGCCCAGCTGCTGCTGCTGACCAGAAAACACACAGAGACCCACTGGCCTAAAAGCAGGTCATTCCTAGAGAGTTTTCTATAATGAAATCAGGCAAGCCTGACCTCAAGCTCTTAACCCTCCTTCGGGCCAGAGCCTCCTTCGGGTCACTGCTGCCACCCCACCCTCAGTCCCATCATCAGCTTGGTCAGGTGCCCTCCGCCTCTTGTCCCCCAGTCCATCACCTCTGCTTTAGCCTACCTTTGGTCCCATGGTCATTAGTATTTTGGTCATTACATACTTGCCTGACCACTAGCATTCTCTGCCTTCCTTTTGACTTTTATTTCCAGAATTCTAAACTCATTAGAACACGCCATCACAGGCCACACCAAAGCTCTCCCCTGTCCTCCAGCTGGACTCCCACACCACTGCCCAGAGACCCTTTCATTCATCCCTGTGAGTCCTGAATCAGCTCTCATCTCCTTGGCTCCCCACTCTCCGCCTTGCCTCTCCACTGAGGACCAAGGCACCACGTTAACCGAGAAGTTTTGAGGCATCAGAAGCCACGTCCGCACTGACTCGTGTTTCTCTGCAGTGCTCCCATCTCCATCATCCACTCCTCGCCTCCAGGAACACACATTCCTTCCGCAAGGCTAATCTACCCATCCGCACCTCCTCCTGTCCCTCTCAGACCTACCTCCTCTCTGTGACACCACCAACCTCGTTCCCTGGGTTCCCTCATCCAGGACGGTAGCACACACACCAACACATATACGCACACACCATCCTGCAACAAGGCTCCCTGCAAACCGGTCACACTCGGCACATGGCCCACGGCTCCTCACCCAACACTTCTGGACACTGTGAAGGAGTCACTGTCTCCCTGTACACCTTCCTCAAACCTCTGCCAGCCGCTGTGGGGAGGTCACATTGCAGAGTCTCCGTGGGGAGCTCACAGAAGGACCAGAGCAGCTCACAGTAGGAGGTCCTACAGACCTGCATTGCACACCTACCTCTGGCTCTTGCGAGTGGTACAGTCTTAAGTGAGTTATTGACCCTCTGAGCCTATCTTCCACAAGTGCAAAAACAGGAATTCTGAGTCGCCCTTCTGGGCATGCTGTGATAAGCACGACCATGCAGGCAGCATGGACTCTGGCCGAGCACCTGGTGGGCTGCAGACGGCCTGACTTCTCCACACTTCAGGGCCACGCTGTCTGACCAGACTGCCCTGAACATGCCCATATCCAGAGCCCTGGCTTTCACACAGTAGGGGCCAGAAAATGTATGTTCACTCGAAATGGGAGACAGCATCAGAATTTCCTTTTATTAAGAAATCAGATGGGAAAATGTTCCCAAGTATTTTTCTGCCTGCAGCACATTCTTTTAATAACATTCTTGGCATGAAGTAATTAATTTTTAAGCACAACCAGCCCCAATTTAAGCAAGTGATATTTCAACTGAAAATGATTCTTTGTAGCCATCTTTTATTCTTCTCAGCCCCACTTGCACAGAAGAGAACTCACTTTTTTTTTTTTTTTTTTTTTTTTTTTTTGACAGGCAGAGTGGACAGTGAGAGAGAGACAGAGAGAGAAAGGTCTTCCTTTGCCGCTGGTTCACCCTCCAATGGCCGCCGCTGCAGCCGGCGCACCGCGCTGATCCTGGCAGGAGCCAGGAGCCAGGTGCTTTTCCTGGTCTCCCATGGGGTACAGGGCCCAAGCACCTGGGCCATCCTCCACTGCACTCCCTGGCCATAGCAGAGAGCTGGCCTGGAAGAGGGGCAACCGGGACAGAATCCGGCGCCCCAACCGGGACTAGAACCCGGTGTGCCGGCGCCGCAAGGTGGAGGATTAGCCTATTGAGCCACGGCGCCGGCTGAGAACTCACTTTTTTAACTCGGGTCGTCAGATCCTGGACAAAGAGCTTGCGGAGGTTATGGAGAGTCTGCAGTTCTCGAGACTGGAAGAGAAAAGTTTCAGAGGCACCTCAGTGACTGTGACACATCTGGCCTGGATCATTAACTCTCCACTGCTTTCCACGCCCACCATCAATGCCAGTGGCGCCCCCGCACTTGCTGCCCTCGCCCACCACACCATGTTCACCCCTGGACCTGCTGTCTCACTTCACCAGCACCACCAAGTGCAGAGACAGGGAACCCAAACCGAGAACTGGAACAAAGCACAAAGCCCGTCTGTTTGTTGTGTCCTCAGGAACACATTTTCTTCTTAACCACAGAAATTCCAATGTTTTCCTGCAAAGATTCCTAGAGGACTATGTGGTCTTATCCAGCTGGATTCCTTTTTCCTTTTTATTTATCATGTAAACATGTCACACATAGGGTCTTCAAAACGTTCATGGAAAATATGTAATGTGAAAAAATATGGCTGGATTTCAAAATTTTTGCATCACAATAAACCTGTTTTATAACTCTATTTCCTGTAAACTTTCTGAAGTCCCTTTGTATGATTCAGACAGGTTTGAATGAAAGTTAGCCCCAATTCCCCTCCACCCCCACCGAAGGTGATGTCCCATGGGGCTGCACCCGGTCTGGCCCAAGTCCCCGGGCTCGTTGGTTCCATGTCACAAGCCTCCGGGTGGGCATTTCACGGGCTCTCCACCTGGGTGGCCCCGGGCAAGCCACCAGACTTTCCAGGCTCCAGTTTTCTGATTTGCGACATGAAGATAAAAGTAATGGTTGCCTCACAGTTGCGGTCAAGATTAAATGAGATGACACACATAGCAAGTGCTCAACAAACATCATGCATATCAATTTAGCAGTGCATCATCTCTCCTGTCATAAAAACCATTTCTGCCTTAGACTTATAGCAGTCGCTTGTTTTTGTTATAACTTTTACTGTATTTAACTGTAGGGGCATTTTTATGTTTCACTTTGGATTATTTTTCTGCAAATGAACCCTTAGGAACTGGACTGCTTAGACAAGGGCCTGAGCCAGATCTGGTGATTGTGGTTAATAAGACCAGCAGGTTCATTTCCTTGTAATCAAGTCTCCCTGCTTTTACTACAGAAGATATGTTAGACCCTTTAAGTTTCCCATACAGAAGAGGAGAGAGAGAAGCTATTCAACATAAACGTTTCACTGAGTCTAAACTGACCCACTCTAACACAGACTGCAGTTCGCACGTGCTCACAAAGAGGGGAAGAAACAGGTGACAAAGCTACGGGAACACTAAGTGTCTGGGAAGAAGGGTTCTCTGTTAATTTAAAGTCTTATTACTGGGGCCAATGGTGTGTTGACATAAGGAGCACCTGAAGTCAACTGCATCCCAGGATGAGATAAATTACTTTCTGCAGGAAGCCAAATGGATCTGTTATTATGAATAACATGCACACAGTACCTGTTGGAGGCTGAGCCACCTCCCAGCACGGGATCAGGTGCAGCGAGGTGCTGAATTACACGGACACGCCGTCCCATCCCCGGCCAGACGGAGCTCAGCCCCACACCCTCCTCCCTCGGTGCCTGCACGGGCTCTGCACGCTCTCCCTCAGGCTTCAGTGATTTTATCACAGACTCAACTGTAATCACAGGTCATATTTTCCACAAGAACCACCACCACGTCCAGGGGGAATGGGGAGAAAACACCTGGTGTCTTATTCAGGAGCCAGGCGTCGCCCTGGGAGGATGGAGTCCTAAGTTTGGCAACTTGCTCTCATTTCCACTTGTTTTTAAGTGGACTCAACAACAAACAGGAGGAATGAGGAGTTTGGAAGAGCAATCGGAGACAACTGGAATAGGTGATACGTCACATTTACTTAAGCAACTGCTGTGTGGCTGCCAGGACGTCTTTGTCCAACCTCCCAGCTTCCCCCAAATCTCCTCCTGTCCCAGGATGCTGCCCTCCTCGTAAAAGCCCCAGACTCAGCTTCCCATTACAGTACACAGTGATGGTGGGCCCCAGCGGCAAAAATCCTAGGCCCATCAACCCAGCAAGAGGAAGAGTCCAGCCCCAGAGCCCAGACAGGGTTAAGGCAGCCAGGGGCCCAGGATACCCACCAGCCAGTCAGCCCTTCCCATGGTGGTCCCCTGCAGTGGGCTTCCCAGACTTCAATACCAGCAGGTCCCATGCCTGGCCCATCCAAGCCTAACGCTCCAGGAGGGAAGACAGGCCTTGTGCTAGGGAGAGCTCAAGAACGGGCAGCAGAGAACAGCTAGAACAGCCACAGCCTGGGGAGGGCTCCTGGGCAGAGGGAACTGAAATAGCACGTTCTGCAGGGCTCTAAGCCAAGATTCAAAAAGTGTGCGTGTGTGTGTCTAAAGCAAGGTAAGTGACAGCAACAGACATGAGAGGGAGGGAGAGGGCAAGGAGCCACTGTGTGGGTGGGTCTGCATGTGTGTGCACACGTGTGTGTGCAGAACAGGCACATGCACAGGGGAGGAGCATCCTCTGTGTGCGCCTGTCCAGGGAGCACAGAGCTGGAATGAGAGTGGACAGATATGAGGGGCTGGAGAGAGGATGCATCATCGAAAAGCCATCTGAACATGACAAAGGGCAGAAGAACTGATTAGATACCCTTCAATATCACACTCAGGAGCATGAGAGAGAAAGCACACGAGTGTGTCCGAGTGGGAACAAGGGCAGATGTGGGTGGCTGTGATCTGTGTATGAGTTGGCAAGAGCACGTGTGAATGCTAGGGCTGGTGCTTTAGTGCAGCAGGTTAAGCCTCTGCTTGCTACACCAGCATCTCAGTTCACCCCGGTTCAAGTCCCAGCAGCTCCATTTTCAATCCATCTTCGTGCTAATGTGCCTGGGAAGGCAATGGATGAAGGCCCAAGTGCCTGGGCCCCTGTCACCCATATGGGAAACTATAATAGCGTTCCTGGCTCCTGGCTTGGCCTAGCCCAAAGCTGGTCATTGCAGCCACTTGGGGTGTGAATCAACAGACAGATCTCTTTCTCTCTCTCTTCCTCTCTCTGTGTTGCTCTGCCTTTTGAGTAAATGTATACATAAATCTAAGTGCCTGAATGTGACTGTGTGAAAGTACTGGGAGTGTATATTAAATGACAGCATTTGCACAAAGGTCTACTAGTGACTTTGTAGGGGATGATGCATAAAGGTGAGTGTGAGAATGAGCGAGTGCATGGGAGTGATTGTGACCGAGCAGGAGTGTGAGTGTGCATGTAACAAATTATGGGTGCTCTCACCGGCGCCGCGGCTCACTAGGCTAATCCTCCGCCTTGCAGCGCCAGCACACCGGGTTCTAGTCCCGGTCGGGGCGCCAGATTCTGTCCCTGTTGCCCCTCTTCCAGGCCAGCTCTCTGCTGTGGCCCAGGAGTGCAGTGGAGGATGGCCCAAGTCCTTGGGCCCTGCACCCCATGGGAGACCAGGAGAAGTACCTGGCTCCTGCCATCGGATCAGCGCGGTGCGCCGGCCGCAGCGCGCCGGCCGCGGCGGCCATTGGAGGGTGAACAACAGCAAAAGGAAGACCTTTCTCTCTCTCTCTCTCTCTCTCTCACTGTTCACTCTGCCTGTCAAAAAATTTTAAAAAAAAATGATAAAATATATATATATATAAAATTATGGGTGCTCTCTAGTGAGCATGTGCATGTGCACACATGTCAGTATGGACACTGACATGTGCTATATGTATGCATGCCATGGGCATGTATGTGCATACGTTCTAAGTACTCAGGTGTGGACACAAGTGTGTATACACAGTAAGTGCCCAGGTGCAGATGAGAGAGCAGCAGTGTGAGCCCGTGAGCATGCGTGACAGACGGGGAGGGCAGGGGCTGTGGGTGTGAGCCCTTATGTGAGTACGTGGTGACGCACATGCTCAACTGCGTGAGGGAGCTGTGGTGCAGGTGCAAGAGGGAGGACAGTGGAAGGGCGGGGTGGTGGGTGAGGGTGTTCACAGAGCTCATGTGGGGAGAGGAAGAAAACGCCCTGCAATCACTTATCCTTGGCTGGGCAGGGAGAGCGAGTGATTAGCAGTCAACATTTGTCTGAATTTCTATAATTACCCATAACTGTGGGCCTCACTCCTCTCGTGAAACAAATGCAGATGAAGACATTTTGCGGCCCCCTTCTCCACGCTTGCGAGGCCACTTTCCCAGGCACTTCCACATCCTCCTCCTGCCCTGAATAGCTGTGCCCTCATCCCTTCCTCCTGGCTTTGCACAGCACCCACCACCAGCCGGGGCACGTGGGCAGCCTCGGGTCCAGGTTTGAGGGATGCTTTGCCTACATGGGGTCCCCAGGTTCTCAGAGATGGACCGGTCCCACACAGGTTCATATGAATGTATCTGAACAGGATCTTCTCTCCACTGCTGTGAAAGCCTGAACATGTTTTCTCCACACTGAGAGGAGATGCCAGAACAGGCTGGCTTCAACCATGCCACTGTATGGCATGGCCAGTACTCGCCTTGTAGGGCTCAGAGCAAGGCGGCCATCCTGCAGAGCGGCGAAACAAAAGCTAAGCAGAAGCTGAACCACTGACTCCAGATGCAGAACAGAGAAAATCTTAATGAGCCCTTGCGAAGGTCAGGCGGTCTGTCACAGCTCTGCCCCAAACCCTGCAGGTCTCCAGGCCCTCCTCAGGAAGCCGCCCCTCTGGCCATTACCCCCGTGCACCGCCTTCCACCCTCCCTGCCCTCAGACACAGCCCTCCAACATGCCAGACACGGGCTCACCACAGCGCCTTGGCACAAACCATTGCTTCTGCTGCTGTGTTCTTCCCTAGGTATCCCCAAGGCTTGTTTCTGCCCCAGCTTCAAGGCCCTGCCCAGAGATCACCTCCTCATGGGGCGTCCATAATCACCACCCCCTGCACTCTCAAGAAGCCTCAGATGGAGGACAGTGCCCACCCCCAGCCATGGGGGATACATTCCAAGACCCTCAGTGCATGCTGGGAAGCTTGGACAGGATGGAACCCTATATATAATTGGTTTATTCCTATATAGACTCCTACCTTGGATAAAGTTTAATTTCTAAATTAGGGCTGTTAAGAAATTAATTAAAAAACTATTAAGATAGTCATAACAATGTAGTATAATAAAAGTTATGTGAATGTGCTCGCTCTGTCTCACAATTTCAAAATATCTTAATCCCTCACTGCACGGTAATATTTTTGGAGCGTGACCGCCTACAGGTAACAACCAGGGACGCTGCCGTTGGGAGGCTGCTGTGCGCGGTTGCTTCTTTGTGCTTCACTGTGTCTGCCCCTGCTGAAGGTAAACTTCATGAGGGCAGGGAGCTTAGATCTGCTGACTGACATACCCAAGCACCTAGGGGAATGCTCAGGGAGCGCCTGCTGAATGTCTGAGTGGAAGTTAAGCCACCAAGTGCAGAGACTGTAAAACGGATTTGCAACTCAGCTTGATTTTCACTCAGGGGCTCCAGGATCACAGCCCTAAGGACTGACTTTTGATTCTACCAGGAGTTGGGGAATAATCCTACAAATTCCACTTTCCCCCACCCAGGATATTTTACATCTAAAATGGAAGGGTATGCACAGATGAAATTTTCAGATACACAAATCACAGACAACTGATCTGGTCTTTGAGATGAAAAGAAGTAGGGAAACATCTGGACATACCACCGTCTCCTCCAGCCCTTTCAGGTCCTCTCTGGCTTGTTCCCTTTTATCATTGAGCAATCTGAAAAACAAAAAGGACTCCTAAACCACTGGAGGGGGATCAGAGATCTAAGCAGACACTATTTACACCTGCACATAAATCAGCAAAACAAGCCAGCAAGCACACAAACAGCCATTGTCTCTTTCAAAATCAGCCTAATTGGGAGCCACTGCTTTGCCCAGCAGTCAAGACACCTGCATTCTCCAGCAGAATGCCTGGGTTCAAGTCCCAGGTCTGGCTCCTCACCCCTGCTTCCTGGAGGATGCAGACCCTGGGCGGCGTTGGTGATGGCTCAAGTGATTGTGTTCCTGCCACCCCTGTGTGGGACCTGGGTGGAGTTCCCAGCTCCTGGCTTCAGCCACCACCCAGCCCCAGCTGTTGCAGGCATTTGAAAAGTGAACCAGCAGATGGGAGCTCACTCTCTCTGCCTCTCAACTAAAAATTTAAAAATATAAACAATAAATTAGCCCAATCGAATCAAACCACCTAGGTATCTAAATCTCAAAAAGTGAGTTTCAAAGACCTCACAGGGAGGAGAGAAAACAGGGAAGGTTTGAAGGGCACTCACAAAAGCTTTTCCAGCTTCATCTCTCTCTCTTGGTCTTCTATTTTCAGCTTGTTATAATCAGAACTGAGCTGCTCTTGTTCCAGTTGCAGTTTCTGATTCAAGCTGAAATGGAGAGGAAAAAGCAATGTATTCCACATCAGTCTGAAACTCTGAGTCATCCAGCTCGAACCGTGGTTCTGTTCCAAGCCCATTAGTTCTGTGCAATAAAGGACACAATTCTGGAGGATTTTGCAGGATCAGAGAACAAGCTCACAGCTTCCTCCCTGCCCAAGAGAAAAACTAATTTCTGGGAAGCATCTAACAGGCATGAAACAAAGGCTTTGGGGATGTATTTATAGTTTGCTGGTGTGCAAGCACTTCAGGGGAAAGTAATGAGCTAGGAACACGGCTGGTATTTTAAGAGAGGAGGGGAGCCCCAACAGAAGAGCCCTATGGGCTCGGCTCCCCAACCCCCGGGCAGGCACCCACTCAGGTGCCTCTGGGATCCCTCTGGGATCAGATGGTCTGAAAACATCTGCCAGGTCCGAATGCCTCGCTGACACAGGGCAGCGCCTGCTGGGTGGGCCCTTGAGGAGGGGTGTCGAGAGGAGCAACCAAGAACCGAGTCCAGCCTGTACTGCAAATGGCACCTGGGCGCCTGTTGCAGGCATTTGGTCAAACTTGTATCAGCTCAGTATTCTTACACCTCTCATATGGCTGCTCCTTAGCCACCATAAAGGAACAGATTACAGAGGCGGGCGCTGTGGCCCGGCCGGTGAAGCCCCACTTGGGATGTCTGCATCCCGTGCCGGAGTGGCTGGATGGAGTCCCAGTCTCATCGAGCTCCCCGCTAATGTGCTTGGGGGTGATAGCCCAAGTACTTGAGCCCCTGCCACCAATGTGGGAGACCCAGAAGGAGTGCCTGGCTCCTGGCTTTGGCCTGGCCTGACCTGGCTGTTGCAGCATCTGGGGAGTAAAGCAGTGGATGGAAGATCTCTCTCTCTCTCTCTCTCTCTCTGATTTTTATATATATTTACATAAATATGTGTAATTTATATATAAAAGATCAGTATCTATTACATCAAGGAAATCTGGAGTCCATTTGAAAGGCATTAACCAAGGAAGCTTCCCCACCTACCAACTTGCTCATGAACCCTCCCTCTCTTCCTTACCTTCCTCTTCCCACTCCTTTCATGATACAAGCACACCATGAGTGACAACACGCGGTGACCCAGTAGGAAAGGGAAGAGAGGATGCTAAGTGCGTTCCTGGGGTGGGCTGTGTGCACCCAACTCACCATTTACACTTTGGCTTCGGTTACCATTCTCCTTTTTTAAAATGCAAATACAGTGTGCCAGCAGCTCACATACACTGAGAAGAGATTTGAACCAGTAGTCTACTGAATTAAACTCCAACTCCAGCCTGACTCCTACTTAGCGATGTGACCTTCAGTAAACGATTTAACCTTGGTTCCTGCATAGATATCTGGTTCTCTATCTACAGAGAGGGGAAGGGGAGGGCATCTTTGGTCTAGATCCACTGGGCGCGGAGGTCAGTGCATGGAACTGTGTCTCGACGTAACTGGCTTTCCTGTAATTCTCCATCTTTTCCTTGAAGCATTTAAAACGTCATTCTCCAAAGCGGTTCAGAAACTGCCATGGGGCTCTGTGGTGCAAAACCTTTAAGGAGCCTCGGGAGAGGACCGGAAAGCCCCTTGCAGCAAGTGACACCTGTGTTGCCAGTGAGGGAAAGGTGAGGGAGTAGAGGGCATTGCGGGGCAGGGGCTCTCCCACCAGGGAGGAGTGGGGCAGGGAGGGGCGTCACTGTAAACAAATGTGGGGAAGTCGTCCTGGCAGCAGAGCCGCCCGTCACAGGCACCTGCACACAGACTCCCATGTGATGTGTCCACATTGAGGCAGCCACAGTGGAGCAATGAGCAGGTGGCTGTGGGCTAAGCAGGGGGCGGCTGCTGTCCTCTCTGCTGAACCCTGAGTCAGGACTAGGATTTTTCATACTTTTATATGAACATCTCCCCAGCTCCTGGGGGCTTGCCTGCACCCAGCTAAGTTGCCAAAGTGACCTGCCTCCCAGGACGAGAAAGGACAGCTGGGCCCGCCTGCCGCCTGCCATGCCAGAGCTCCAGGCAGCCCCGCTCCAGATGGAAGAGCAGACCTCGGAAGCAGCAGCACAGCCCGTGGCATCACGAGGGCACAGCACAGAGCCCACAGGGTGAGGACAGCTGGCCCTCGACTAAAATCCACGTCCTCCCCAGTTGGCCTGAGAGGACGGAGCCCTGCCCAGCCCCAAGCCCCATGAGTCCCAGGGTCCCTGGGCCAACTCACTCCCGAATCTCATCAATGATTTTCTGCTTCTCTTCAATTTCGTCTCGCAGTCTGGACAGCTGCTTCTGGTGAGCTTCCCGGTGGCTCTCCATCTGCTGCTCCAGGGCCTTCTGCAACCCAGGCCAGAGAAACGCGTCATGCACCCACTGGCACGCAGCCCATGCTGTGACAAGTCCTGGACCCACCTCTGCCTCCCACCACGTGCCCCCTGCATCTCAGCTCCCAAAACAAGGGTCATCCCAGCATCTGGTCTTGCTTTACTGGAACAACTAAATGCAAGGATGTGTTATGAAACGGAGTGGGCCCTAGGAGCAAAGTAGTCCGCTAATTAAATAAAGCTTTCCCTTGACATTCTGTCGCTCACCTAAGCTACACAGCTTCTCTCTAACCAAGGCAATCAGAGGGCACACACTTGGACTACCCAGGTGACCTGAGAGAAGCCAGGTCACTGGCGGGAGCCAAACTTCACCATCTGTGAAACTGAGCAACAGTCCCCGGCCATGCACAGATTTGTGATGATGTGTGAAGAACTCCTTCCTCTCCAGAGCCTCTGAAATGGGACAGGGATTCATGGAGCTGAGGCACGATTCTGTTCTGTTGTTCAGAGCAGAGCCAAGCTGCAGGCACTGCCTTACCTATGCACTTTCATTCAACGAGGCTCACCATTTGCCTAAAACTAATCAAGATCTGGCATTTTCTTGGCTCTCACTTTAATTGCCTGAAAGTCTAAAATGTAACCCAAACAAAGACCTCTGTGCTTAAGGTGGGAACATAAACTTGGGGTGTTTGTTTCTCGACCGACGTTGAAGGGAGGGACGCTTCCTTCCATTCAAGGGAGCGAGAATTTCTCCCACAGTGGTTGGTGGCACTGTCCTTTCCCCTCCCCAACAGCACTGGAGAGGACAGGGTGTGACCGCACACAGGCACCATCTACAGACGGCCCAGGGTTCCAGGATGTTTGTCACCTCCTTTCTAAGCCAAGCCACACTCTGAGCAATGGTCCCTCCTCCACTGTGGTGCACACGTGCGAAGGCGACCAACGTTGCTAGAACAGGAAAACCAAGTGCAAGTGCATCAACGGTACACTGGGCCCGCAGGATGGGGCAGCTGGACGCACCTTCATTTCCTCGGCGTCCTGCAGCCGCGTCAGGTGTTCCTTCTCCTTGTCCTGGAAGCTGACTTCGTGCATCTTTTCTGTTTTGGATTTAAATGACGATTTAAGATTCAGTGAGCAGGACTCACATGCAGCAACAGAAATGAAAGACCCAAGGGCGACAGAGTGAAACTTCTGCATGGAGCACTTGTCACAACCACTGGCATAGAGGAGTGGGTGCCCTGCCGTCTGGCACCAAGGCTGACCTCTCCTGCAGCTTCTCTTAAGTCCCCTGGACCACAGGCCTCGGGGACAGGGGCGACTGCAGGGGCAAAGGTCCTCACGGGGCGCGGGGCGGGCCGGGGAGACACACACAATCTAAGAACGAGAACACGGGAAACAGAAACAACACACAAGATTCTAGAGGAAAAGACCCCACTGTGCGCAGGGCTGCGTGGCACTCCTGGCTCAGCGCATTCTTGGTGGCTGTGCCCCCGGAGCACACAGTGTCACGGGCAGCCTGAAGTGGGGGGCTGAGGAGCGGGGAGGAAACTGGGGTAAGGCAGTGGCATTCAGCTCTTGACTTCTCTCTAGTCTGTCCCACTTCATTTTACGTCTTCTGGACCCTATTTGGCTTGCACTCTGGCACCACTGCAGAGATCAAGCTCAAGAAGGAAAAAGCCTTTCCTAACTCCAGCTTTTGGGGTGCACCATGTTCCTAACATTCACTCCTACAAGTTGCAGTGTGGTAGGTGTGTCCTTTCTTTATTAATTTGCCTTGGTATTCAAAACACAATATGTTCACCCAGCAAGTAACTGAACAGCAGTAATAAAGGGAATTTTAAAAAAGGAGGGGGAATATCATCACCGATCTTACTTCCCTATCAAAACCACGTTTAAGTATTCATTTCCAGGAAAACAACTTCCATCTGTTTTTAGTAGTAATAACCACATTAAAGACAATGTGAAAAAATGTTTCCATTATGAAAAACAGTCTGTTCTATTAAGCAACATATCATAGTTGATTTAACTGACAGGTGGCTTTCTTTTTACTCTTTTTGTTGATCAAATTCTGCAATGAATATGTGCGATCTAAGGATCAAAAAGCAGGGGAAAATTACAATTATTAATATGTATTTTTTTTTTGACAGGCAGAGTGGACAGTGAGAGAGAGAGAGACAGAGAGAAAGGTCTTCCTTTTGCCGTTGGTTCACCCTCCAATGGCCGCCGCGGCCGGCGTGCTGCGGCCGGCGCACCGCGCTGATCCGATGGCAGGAGCCAGGAGCCAGGTGCTTCTCCTGGTCTCCCATGGGGTGCAGGGCCCAAGCACCTGGGCCATCCTCCACTGCACTCCCTGGCCACAGCAGAGGGCTGGCCTGGAAGAGGGGCAACCGGGACAGAATCCGGCGCCCCAACCGGGACTAGAACCCGGTGTGCCGGCACCGCAAGGCGGAGGATTAGCCTAGTGAGCCGCGGCACCAGCCTTAATATGTATTTTCAAATAGCTTTCCAAAAGAGCTCAACAACTTCCATCGCCATCAGCAATAGTTGTGTTGCTGGGCCCCACACTGCACAATGCACAGCCTCTTAACCCCTCTTAAAGCTGGGTTTCCAGCTGCTTCTCCTGGATTTCTGCTTCTCTTTATTCGTGTTTATTAAATGCTTCCTATGCATCAAGTAGCCCCCCCCCCCTCAGCAAAGGGGACTGGGAGAGGATGCCTGGCAAAGGAAAAGAGTTTGCTACCGGGTACAGGATGCTAAGGAAGCCAGGCGGGAGTGCAGACTTCACATGAAGAGCAACAACATGCCGCGGAGGGGGCAGACGCAGGGGTCAGGGGCCAAGACAGAATGTGAATTTTAAAGTCATCCTGTGGGATGCAGCACAGCGGCTGGCCCAGGACAGACTGTGGATGGGCTACCTCAGTAGACACATAGCCCTACCACTCGATTATCCTGCACAATGGCAACAAAGACAGAAATGGCCAGAGCCAGAGGCATCTGGCAAAGTCCAACAGGCAGGCGCCAGTGCCTGAGTGGAGCAGGTGGATTCTGACGTGTGCAAGTGGGTGGGCTGAGGGTAAAATGGGAAGACAAGCAGATTCAGGGTGGGGGTGGTCTTCTAGAGAATTCTTTTTTTTCCCTCCCCCAGTTATGCTATGGTTTTCGGCAGACCTAGAAATGCAATGCTGGAGGAAAAGTAAACATCATGACTCTAGCCAGCTAGACTGGTTGCTTTAAGTCAGGAGTTTGACACCTGCAGAGTGGGCAAATATTTACCTTGGGCTCGGAGCTTGGCTAGCTCTTCGCTGAGCGAGTCCTGGGACTCTTCCAGCTGCCTCCTCTTCTGTTCCATGTTCTGCATGTAGTCTGTCAGAGATTTAATCTTGGCTTCATGCTTCAAACAAGAAAACGTATTAAAAGGAGGAGTCAATGACTAGCAAGTGATCGACCAGGCTAGCCTGGGGCTGTCCTATGGGAAGACGAACCAGAAGACGGGTTCCTGGCCCTTCTCTTGAGTGACAGCTCTGCTGGTGCATATTCTGCCCTGGGCCTGGACCTGGGCTCACTGACCAGGGTAGTCCACTGCTTCTCCCACGTGCTTCTCCATTCTCCATGCTCATGGCCCTGCCCCTCCTTGCCATCCACCTAACATGAGACAAGCCCTAGCACAGAAGAGGATGCTGGAGGGAAAGGGGCTAGGAAAATGCCCAGGTCTGAAAGACCTCACCCTCTCTCAAGCACACCAACTCACATGTCAGGGACTTTGCATTCTGTGTTACTGTCTCCCTTGGAAGCCTTCCTTCCCCACAGTCCTACCACATTGCCCCAGGTGACTCCTTATTGCCCAAGCCCCAGTGTTTTCTTACAGTACTCATCCTCTACATGATTTATCTATTTTATTACTTGTTAGCTCCCTGAGGGTATGAAGTAGGCACTTAATAAATGCTAGTGGAATGAATGAATGGGAGCTCACTGGCAGAACGGGGACAGTCCTGACTTGTAGGCAGATGGAAGTACACAGAACATCACCCCCCTCCAGATCTGGGGAGTCCATGTTTAGGAAGAAAGACCCAGGAGACTGAGCTCCAACCTAATGAAATAACTTTTTCAAAAACACGAATCAGTTGAGTCATTGTTTTGTAAGCATTGCTTGCGTTAAAGAGGTTGGGTATAAACAAAGATAGCTTTTGGCTTGAAACATTTTGTCACATTCCATAGATCACATCATAAAATATTAAATATTTGGCTTTGTGTGAATTATTGCAAAGTGCAAAACAGCACCTAATTGAAAACTGAACTTGAACTTTCTAACACGGGTGTTCTTTAATCTCAAGACATCCTAATATTCTAATTTCATACACCAAAATCATTGTCACTGTGAGACCTGGGCAATGGGGATCCTGATCCTGGGCCCCACACTTTACAGCACCCCACTGGGTCCCTCCTTTGGCTACATCCGGATCTAGTGAGCAAAGAGTTCATCAGTGAAGGCAGTATGTCCACCTGAATCCACATCTCCTTCTAGACCATTCCCCAAGCACTAGGGACCTAGAAACTCCCCACTACAATAGCCCTGGGCTACTTCCAGGGCCAGCACTGCCCCATCTTTGTCCATCTACAGATGGCAGTTGACAGAGTCCCATGAGTGCACCAAGGGAGCAGATGGACTAGGACATGGAGCCAGTATGTCCAGCTGGAGAGAGGAGACACAGGGTAGTAGGCTCCAGGGCCTCTATGTGTACCACTGCCTTGCCCCTAAATGTTAAGGGAATGACCCCCCAACACTCATGCTGTTGGTGTCACGGATGATCTACAAATCAGACTTGAGATGCACCATCCCCTGATGTTTGTCATTTTTTCTCAATTTTTATATTACAAAAATGTCTTTATATAAATGGTCATATATATACTTATAAAGATTAAATCTTATAAAGCAAATCTAGAAAAAAGTGGTGTAAGTTTCACTTGTAAATCACTCCAACTTATGAACTATGTCCCTCGTCTATTCCTGGAGTCATCTACAGAGATGAATATTTTACAGGTTGTAAAGCATATACAACTTTAAGTTGGCATTTTCACTTTCATTTAACTTTATGATTGTGTTTTCCAAAAGACTAGGTCTCACAGATTTTTTTAAGAGCTGCATAATGTTCTTCCATGTAACTTTATGTTACTAGTTCATCAATAGATACTTGGGCAATTTAACTTCTTGTGTCAATATCTTAGGTAGGAAATGATAATACCATACAAAATGAAAACTTTTCACTTTATTACCTGTAAAAACAGAATAAATGAAATTACTGGACCAAAGTGTACTTACATTCTGATCATTTTTTTCAATTTCTGAATTACTTTCAAAAAGGACTGGCCAACAGTATGTATCAATTTCTCTATCACATGCTAGAAATGAATAATCTTTTCCATACATTTCTGCTTGTTGTTACTTATAAGATAGAATCTCGCAGATCCATTTTAGACATGGAGGTTGGAGCTGTTTCCGTGATTACATATTAATATTCTTAAAAGCATACCAGCACAAAGCATGCTTTTGTCTGTCAGTATTGTTTCATGCACCAACCCTGTTGGTGTCTGTTTCCCCTAAATGACCTAGGCTGTTTTAACAACTGACATAAAGCAGTCACAACACTCAGATGGACCACACACAGAAACCCCAAACCTAATTACCATGCTCAGATATTAATGTGAGCCCAGAAGCTAGGTTGCTGTTTTCTGAAACAACCTACTAAAATGAAAATTACCACTACAATGGGAAGTAGAGCAGCATTACTCAGGGTGCAAATGAAATGTGCCTTTGGGATTGAAAACATTGGCTATGGGTTCATACACACTTTGGTTTGAGTTTCAGCTCTACCATGCACTGGTTATATGTGTGTGAGTCAATACATACATGTAATCTGCTTCAGTTTCCATAGCTGAAATCCTGCTTACCAGAATTTTTTAAGTTCAAGCAAGAAAAAGCATGTAAAAATATTTATTGGGGTCAGCACTGTGGCATAGTGGGTAAAGCTGCAGCCTGCAGTGCCAGCATCCCATAGGGCACCAATTCAAGTCCCAGCTGCCCCACTTCTGATCCAGCTCTCTGCTATGCCCTGGGCAAACAGTAGAAGATGGCCCAAGTCCTTGGGCCCCCACACCTGAGTGGGAGGTCTGGAAGAAGCTCCTGGCTCCTGGCTTCGGATCGGCCCAGCTCCAGCCATTGCGGCCATCTGGGGAGTGAACCAACAGGTAGAAGACTCTCTCTCTCTCTTTCTCTCTCTCTCTCTCTCTTTTCCCTCTGCCTCTGCCTCTCTGTAACTCTGCCTTTCAAATAAATTAATTTAAAAAAACTTATCATGGTACATGACACACAGTAAAAACTCAATAAAATGCTACCTACTGCTAAGCTTAATAGCAATAGGAGTGCTTTCATTTTTCTTATACCACATTAGACCTGTGGCAGAGATTTAAAAAATGAAAGAATGCTCCTTAATTGATAGGAATGTCAAAGATTCTGCCTAATCTTGAACATTCATAATCTATCTGCATCTTCTTATATACCCACCCCTCCATGCATCCCTCAAGATGTACCGATAAACCCTTTAAAGAGAAAAGCGACTCAAGGGAATCCATGTAGTTGACACCACAAAAATCAGCCTGAAGAATAAAGCTGAGCTGTCCTTGCAAGGGAAGCCATGCTTCCACAAAGCAAGAGACACCAACTTCCCTTGCTGGCCCCTCAGTAGCAGTGAGGGCGTGCAGGGACCAGATCTGGAGAGGCCCGCCCATGAAACGAGCAGGAAAGGGTGGCTCACCTGGGAGATGAGCAGCTGGCAGGCTGCCAGTTCCCGTTCACTGGCGTTCATCTTCCTGTTGGAGTCCATCTGGGCGCTCTCGAGCTGTTTGCTGCGGTTCACCAGGGACTTGACCTCAGACTTCATCTTGCTGATGTACAGGCGGGCCATGGTAAACTCCTCCTCAATGACTCCATTCACATCTGCCAACTGAGCACAGAAGGGAACGCGCTTAAATATTTCCAGAGGCTCATGGACCTCGTGAAACCTGACCAGGGAGCCTCAGGGTGTCCTGGATTTCTGGCTAAGCATGCCTTATCATGGGGCAAGCTGAAGATAATCTCTGAAAACCCTAAACCTCACAGAGGACTTTAAATTGAAAATCTCTACTAAATGCAATCCTCAGTTAACCAGGTCTTTTATTACAATTGATTTTTAGGATATAAGAGAGGGCATCAGAGGGAAAAAACATTGATGATTTTTAAAAGGAACTAAATCTGAAGTGGTATTCCATTCATTGTCTAACACCTTATATCTCTTTAACAGCAGTGAGGCCCAATATTCAAAGATAACCCTTAGTCCCTACAAAAACTCAACTAAATTTTCAGTTATGCTTTCTATATACTGCCTAATCATGCAGAGAAGTAGCTTAATGCCTTGAGTATACCTCTATATGAGCAAGATTGAAATAAGAAAGACTTTCTACAAAGTCCTCAATTAAAAGGAAAATATAAAGACTAAGAGCATATTTCTCATCATCAAAAGCCCCTCTAAGGTTCCCTGCATGATTTCTCGTTATCATCAATCTATTTTTCTTTGCCTTTTCAAACTGCCCTTCCAAGCAGACAGTGATGTAGATCATTATTTAAAATCATGTGAGAACAGCCTAAATCCACCTTTAGAAGACAAGATTGTGACAGCTAACATTTCTGCATGATCTATATTTGGTTTCCAAGTTTCAGAATTCTACTGTAAATAAAAATCGAGGCAAAATATTTGGAATAAAAACCCATCTACTTAGCCACAAACAGTCTTGAAGGGAACTGATCAAAGGAGCAAGTAATTGTATGTGTGTGTATTGTTTAACCACCAGAGGGCAGCCTAGCACCTCCAGAGAAAACTGTGTGGTCCAGAATCCAACCCAAGACCACAGACCACAAGCTTCAGTGGGTTCTGAGAGTAATTCAACTATGGTTTTTTGTTTGTTTGTTTGTTTGTTTTTAAAGATATATTTATTTATTTGAAAGGCAGAGTTACTTAAGGACAGAAGCAGGGAGAAAGAGAGAGAAAGCAAGAAAGAGAGAGTCTTCCATCCACTGGTTCACTCCCCAGATGGCCGCAACAGCCAAAGCTGGGCCAATCCAAAGCCAGGAGCCAGGAGCTTCTTCTGGGTCTCCCACATGGGTGCAGGGGCTCAAGGATTTGGGCCATCTTCCACTGCTTTCCCAGGCCATAGCAGAGAGCTGGATTGAAAGTGGAGAAGCCAGGACTTGAACCTGTACCTATGTGGGATGCCGGCACTGCAGGCAGCAGATTTACCTGCTATGCAATAGCACCAGCACCCCAATATGCTTTTTGACATTCTTCAGTACACTTTAACTGCTCACTGTGTCTTACTGCAGTCATTAACCCCTCATATAACTATTCTTTTCAGTGAACATTAAAGAACTGAAGCCTAGAACAGCCCTGAAAATGTACAATACCAAGGAGAGCAGACATGTACCACATGTCTGAGACTGTACCCTGGCACAGCCCTCCCTTAAGGATTCAACAATCGGATTTGCTAAGTGACTCCACTGGCAATCAACCCAATGCAGGACGTGAACAGCAAGAAGAGCTACAGGGATTGACTTCTGACTCTACTTTAACGATGGTTCTGGCTAAACCAGCTACAGTTCCAACTGCCTAAGCTTTGCCTACCTACGCCACTCCTCTTTCATCACATTCCTTTCAGAATCCAACAGCATGGCCATCTTGGAGCAGGGCAGGTAGCCTGCAAGAGTCAAGTTCAGTTCTGCTCTCCTGCCCCTCTTGTGGCCCAGTGTGGAACAAGGATGAGAAACACCCTGCTGAGCCCGACCAGGTGCAGGCCATATATTGCCCAGCTTCTTTAGAAAGACAGGGATGTCCACCTTTACCACATGGAATCCACAGCCTACACTGGCTGCTAGTGCAGAAATGTTTCTTCTCCTGCAGGACAAACAGGGCATGTGGTCTTCTGGGCCCAGGGCTCATGAGGTCAGGAGGAGTGAAAATGCAGACGTCACCATGGGCTTTCTGCCAAGTGCGAGCTGGGCATTTCTTCCCCCAGGCCAGCCCTTAACTTGTCCTGGTAGGTCTAAAAGATTTTCAGTCTGTACCGGATGGGAAACAAAAACAATCCCCTAAACAAATGCTTTGTAACTGTGGAGGTTTCATACCACTGCAGAGTTCATCCACTTGGTGGTCTTGGGTGCAAGAGTTTCCAATAACTCTTGCACACTCATTTCAAAAAGAATGACCTGCACTCTGCCAATGTTTGAACTAGGGAGAGACAGGTCCTTCTGCCTTCTGGCTGTTCAGTTCTGATGTATTCAGGAGCTGAGGACCCAGAGAGAAAGATTCCAAAAGCCACTCTTCCCCCTCCCCAGGAGTCCTGCCAGCAGGAAGCAAGTCAGAACTGAACTGTACTTTAGGACCAAAACACAAGATCACTGAAGTCGATTTCCTTATTGTACTCATTTTCCTATGTCAACAGAATTCTATCAATAAAACAGCCACAACCAATAACAAAAGCACCTGTACCCATAATACTAAATCCAAGAAACAGATGTAGAAGCCATGCAATTTCTGAGCTGACAGCCTTTGAGATTATCTGGGCTCCTTCTCATTTCACAAATTAAGATGAAGCCTGGAGAAATCTAGTGACTTACCCTGAGACACACAACTCCTCCATTAGCTCTCATTGCCCTAGCAATTAAATCTCAATTATAAGGAGAAAAAAAAAAAAAAAAACAGAATGATTAAGAATATGGTGACCTATAAGTGAGTGTTATTAATGAAATTAAATAAAGCTTCCAATGTCTAGAATCCAAAAATAATCTCAAAAGCATCCAATTGAGTATTTAAAAATAATCTCAATCATGCTTTAGATTCCCAAAGGTAAGGACGCTTTTTTTTTCATGCAAAGCACCCAGACACTCCTTGATTTCATTTGCATTTTCATCAGCCCTATTTTAGAACTTAGCATAAAAATACCTCCCTTTATAGTTATCAGCAGCAAGCGCCAACTTCCCATAAATCAACTCCACCTTCATATTGAGAGGGCCATTTAATCAACCCAGCCTCAGAATTTTATTGCTCAACGCCAACGTATGGTTCCACAAATTAAATCCTCAAATATAAAACCACTAAACAGAAGCCCAATAGGGTTAACCCTATCATACCTGAGAATTCCATACTGTAATTAGATTCATTCACAAGGATCTATGAAATACTCCATTACAGCAGAAGATCCAGGAAAGAATGATGATTGCATGAGACCATATATTCCAAGCCTGGACCTTTCTGGACCTTCCCAGAAAGGCTATAAATGGAAACCTAATCTTGGAAGCCTTGCCAAGTATTCAACAACCTGGACTCACAACCTGAGTGTTGCCACCAAGCTAAAGGATGCAGAATTCAGCCTTTTAGAGGCAAAACAGCAGGGCCGCCCTGCTGTGGTGTAGAGGGTAAAGCTACCGCCTGCGGTGCTAGCATCTGATATGGGCACCAGTTGAGTCCTGGTTCCTCCACTTGGGATCCAGCTCCCTGATAATGTGCTTGGTAAAGCAGTGGAATATGGCTCAAGTGCTTGGGCCCCTGCACCCATGTGGAAGACCTGGAAGAAGCTCCTGGCTCCTGGCTTCAGCCTGGGCCAGCTCCAGCCATTATGGCCATTTGAGGAGTAATCCAGCAGATGGAGGACCTCTCTCTCTCTGTCTCTCCCTCTCTCTATAATTCTGCCTTTCAAATAAATAAATAAATCAAGGAAGTTAGGAAGGGAAAGAAAGAGAGAAAGAAAGAGAAAGAAAGAAAGAGAGAGAAAGAAAGAGAAAGAAAAAGAGAGAGAGAAAGAAAGAGAAAGAAAGAGAGAGAGAAAGAAAAAGAAAGAGAGAGAGAGAGAGAAAGAGAGAGAGAAAGACACCTGCTGTTTAAAAATAAATAAATGCAAAACAGCTCAATTCAAAAAATTTTATGTTAGGGAACTGAGAGATGGAAATTAAGCAAGGTAACACCTTTCCCTGGCTGGGAGTACTAGACACAAGGTAATGTACTATTGCAAAGCGATGGTAATGAAAAACCAACCAATCAAACGTGGACATAAAACAGGATATGGTGATAAAACAGACCAGAGAGACCAGAGCAGCCCCGCGCACTTTCGGGGGCTGAATCCAACAGCATGGCCATCTTGGAGTGGGGCAGGTGCCCTGCAAGAGGCAAGTGCAGTCTGTCTCCTGGCTCTGCTCGGGACTCCCAGTGTGCTCGTTTCATGAGCGGGCACACAGATCAGAGTTTCTCAAATATGTTCGGCTCATGTTATGTAAATTATGACTCCCCAGAGCTCTTGTTAAAAATGTTTCTTTCCTGTCTTACTGGTCAATAGCAACAACTCCATATTATGACAAATTATCAAATCTCTTGACCAATAACACTGTTATTCACTCTTTCCCCTGTATTCCTAGCTTCGAGACAACTTCATATCACCCGGATTCTCGCCACCTCTCTCATTTCCTTGAGGTCGACAGCACCTGGGTGCACAACCCCAGGGGGCTTGTCGTGACTGGCTTAAGCCACCTCCAGTACTCCTAGCCCCTTCCCTTTCCCAGCTCCCCTTGTGGTTTGAGGTGCTCATGTGACCCAGTTCCAGCCAGTGCAGGACACAGGGCTTCAGGGATGTGGCTCACCCCTGCATGAAAACAGCAGGACTTGGATGAGGCTGAGTGAGGACATGAAGACTGGCACTCTGGCAGTTGTTTCGCTACCATGTGACAAAATCCCAAGAATACAGAAAGGAAACAAGCAAAGCATAGCAGAAAGGACATACAGAAAAAGCTTGGGTTGGCACTGCAGAGCCAGTGCACTAAACCGGATTTGCTCAGATAAAAACCACAACAACCCCCTGGCGAATCACTAAAATGCAGAGTCTACTCCGTAGGTGGGAGGGAGACTCTGTGGTTCCAATGAGCTGCTGGGCAACACCGAGCACACCCTGATAGCGAGATTTAGACTTCTCACGCTGTGAACATGTAAATGTGGTTTCCCTTCCTAGGCCATCGTTCGGATCCTGTTACTTTCTGCTGAAAGCTTTTCTAAGTCCATCCTGACTGATTAGAGAATTTTCACTCCATTGAGTTCTTACAGGAAAGAAGAGCCCATTTCTGAGACTAGTTACCCAATTCCAAACACTGGTGACACTCACAAGTGAATGTGAGGAATAAACCAATTTACATATGCAAACCAACAAGGATATGAAGATGGTCCCTAGATTTGAAAGGTAATTATTTTTCCTTCCTCCTCAACCCAATAATAGTTGCTGTAGCTATTTGATCGGTTAGTTTGCAGTGATTCAAGTATGACCCAGCATGCTGAGCACTGGACACCAGGAAGACTCAGCAGGACGTTCTGCTGAGAGCACGGAAGCGGGGCAAGGAAGGCTGGCTCACCGTTTTCACATCGTTGGTGCCAATGATCCCACCAATCTCCCCCAGGTCCTTCAGCAGCAGATTCAGGATCTCGGTGGCCCTCTTTTTCTGGTGGTTGCTAAGCTCTTGGAGCTGGCTCAGCTCTCTCTGCGTAGTTGTTAATGTAGTCTGGAAAAATAAATTTCGACAACAAATTAAAAGGGTTCCCCATCGATTTCTCACACACAGCATGACATAGAACAATTGCATCATGGGACAGGCATTCGGTGCAGTTGTTAAGAGGCCACTTGGGACACCCATATCTCATATTGGAGTGCCTGGGTTCGAGTACCAGTTCTACTCCCGATTCCAGCTTCCTGCGAATGTGCGCCCTGGGAGGCGACAGGTGACAGCTCAAGTACTTAGGTCCCTGTCACACATGTGGGAGACCTGGACTGAATTTCTAGCTCTTGGGCTTTAGCTTGGCCCAGCCCGGCTGCCATGGGTAACTGCAGAGTGACTCAGTGGAGGGAAGTTCTCGCTCTCTGTCTCAGACTCTGTCCCTCTCTCTGTTTCTCTGCCTCTCAATTAAATAAATAAAAGAATAACAGTATCATATAGGATGCAGTTCTTTTATCATCTCTCATTATTGCAACATGAGAGTCCTTTTCTGACAATGGTACAGCACAATCTCTGACATGAAGTGGGGCATCCTACTCTCAAGTTATATATCGTGTTATATTATTATATGTCCTCATATCATATAATATGTCTAGGACTATGAAATAAGTTTATTAAAGGTGAGCCAGAGACAGAGTCTACAGGTTTATAACATCTAATCCCATCTTCCTAACACACACGCTCTGCTTCATGCACCCTGTTTAAGTTCAGACTCTAAACACACCTGCCGGTGTCCTCCCCACCTCCACTCCCAACAAACCTCCTCCGTGGGCCCCTTCCAAACCCCCACCTAACTTCTAACAGGAGATGGATCTGGACTACATGGCCCAGAGGAACAACAATGCATTTAGAAAACAACTTTAAAAGTCTTCCAATCCAGGGTCGGCACTGTGGCACAGCAGATTAAGTCACTACCTGCAATGCTGGCATCTCTTATGGGCATGGGGACATGCCCCAGCTGACCCACTGCTGACCCAACTCCCTGCTAATGCACTGAGGAAAGCAGCAGAAGGTGGCCCAAGTTCTTGGGCCCCGTCACTCACGTGGGAGACCCAGATGAAGCTCCTGGCTCTGGCTTCAGCCTGACCCAGCCTTGGCCATTGTGACCATTTGGGGAGTGAACCAGCAGATACAAAATCTTTCTCTCTCTCTCTCTCTGCCTTTCAGATAAATAAATCAACCTTTTTTTAAAAAGTCTTCTAATCCTCACAGTGAAGCTGAATTAAACACAATTCATCTTTTTTTCAAAATTAGATAAGTTCAATAATAGATGGTTTCTTAATACATTGTAGAAGTTCTATTTTCTTGCCAAACTCAACAAATTTATCTCTTTCCCATCCTTCATGTATGTTACCCAAAAGTAAATATTCTTAACTGACTCTCAATGATTCAACAGAATTATCACCTTTTGGGTCTTGGTATTAACCAACAAAGAAATAGGTCCCCTACTCCTAAAGCTCCAGACATTATACGATCCTGCTAAATGCTGCTAAATTACTAGAATATATTTTAATAATCTGACTAAAAGTAGTACTTTAAGAGCGGGCATTTGAGACAATGGTTAAAATGACACTTGGGACACCACGTCCCTTTTCAAAGTCCCTGGCTTACAATCTTGGTTTAGCTTCCAATCCAGCTTCCTGCTTACGCACACCATGGAAGACCACAGGTGATGGTTCAAAATCTTGGGTCCCTGCCACCCACGTGGGAGACCCAGATTGAGTTCCAGGCTCCCACAGCCTGGCCCAGCCCCAGCAGCTGTGGGGAATGAACCAATGAATGGAAGATCTCTTTCTCCCCCTCTGTCTCTCTGCCTGTCAAATAAAAATGTTAAAAACAGTACACTAAACCTTATGGAAAAGGTCTCATTGTTTTGAAAAATAGTAATAGCAAGGACTAGTTAAAAGGACTCTGGAGAAAACACTGAGCAGAGAAAATCTAATTCTCCTCCTGTCCTAAGCAACTTCCGGCTGGGTTTGTTTTGTCTTGTTTCGTCTGGCACTGCCAACTGCTTACTTCATCATGTTTTCAGCATCCCCAGAAGCAGCAGTTCCTGTCTTGGGAAGCCAGTATAGAGAAGGCGTCCACCACGCAGCTGAGTGTATGGAGTGAGGAGCCTTTCCCACCAGCCCCACAGTCGGCAGATCAGCGCTTTCCTGCACCATGTGCTGCTCCTCCTTGTCCAAGGAGGACTGGATGTTTTCCACAGAACAGGCTGGGCACAATCCCACGGTACCAGGCCATCGGGCAGAGGTGCCGAGGGCAGCAGATTACAGCCGTTCAGTTCTCCACCAACCCATTTTCCAAGCAGGAAAGGACACAGCCCAGCGCCAGTTCCCTGGCCAAATGCTTCCTGGCCCTGCTGCCACGAGCTCCTGGTACAGAACCTGCAGCACCTTTTGCTGGGACACTCTAAAAATAAGGACATGTGCAGACGGAAGCACTGGCTTCCACAGGACAAACCAGGACAGCTGGGTCCCAGGCTTCTGACAGCAGCAGCCAGGACAGGAAGCTGAGGGCGGGCATGCACTTCATCCGGGAAGAAGGATAAAGACAGAAGAGGGCGTGCACACCTTCCAGAGCGTCCCCATTCCAGCGGGACACGTTGAGATTCACGGACTGATACAGCAGCACACGCCGGTGCCTGTCACTAGTCCTCACAACATGCAAGGAACACCTTGTTCCTGCCGTTTTACAGATAAGGGAATGTATGCTCAGGCCTAACTCTCTTGACTAAGGCCTAAGAGTTGTAAAGTGAAGTTTTTAACTAGGATTTTTCTGGCTTCAAATCTGCTCTCTCTTCACTATTTCCACAAAGCCTTCCTGCTAACATTATAAATACCCTGGGTGTAAAAGTGGTGAATTGCAGCTCCAGAAGGAGTGGACGAAAGTCACTTCCACCAGGCATTTCAATTGTTGGAAGACTTCAGAGGACACATCTGCGTGTAACATCCAACAACCATTCCACCAACTGCCTTTCTATACAGTGTCCATCAACGAGCATCAGCGAAAAGTCCAGGAACAGCAGGCGAGGAAGTCCCACCCCCTAAACACAAATGCTCCAACCGTTTTCTGGGCCAGCTCGTCCGTCAGCTGCTCATTGGCCCTGGTCTTGTCCTCCACTTCCTGGGACTTCTGGTCGTAGTTGACCGCCAGCTCCTCCAGGGCCTGCAGCACCTCCTTCACCTCGTCTTTGGCCGCCTCGTTTTCAATCTGCAGACGCGTCAGCTCCTCCTGTATCTTCTCATAGTCTCTTCTTGTGGAAGCTAAAAGCTGGGGAAACAAGATGGCATGCAACTGGTGGGTCTCGTGTTCAAATGTCTGTCAGGTGCTCTATCCAAAATAAAGTCATTATTAAACCAGACGCAAGAAAACAAGCTGGAAAAGCTCAGGTTGACAGGAAACCCCACTGTGTGGTCCAGATGCTAAATGAAAACACAGCATGCGAATATTGCAGAAATCTGTTTCTTTTTTCTAAAGTTGGACAGACTCAATTCAAAGAATGAGTTATACCTCAAAAATGACTGCACTTTTTAGCTGGCTGGCTACTCCACATATCAAACAAAGGACAGAGAAATCATTCAGAGGACAATAACAATACTTAGCTTTTAAAAAATACCGTCACGATTACATAGTGCAAACAGACTGACTTCAGAGACAACCAAAGGGCAGTCAGTCACTCTTTCTTAACATTCATCAGGAATGTGTTGAAGGATATGCCCCCAAACACTACCTAAAATGCATGCCTGAATCTGTAGAAGTGAAATTGACACTTTGAGAAGCAATAACTTTGAACAGCCCTTGTCTCGACTGTTGATGAACAGTTTTTTTTTATGCTACTTATTCAACTCTTTATTTAACATAGAGTTAATCATATGTGTATAAAATTCATTGAAAATAGATCTTAATAAAAAAATAAGAGTGGGAATAGGAGAAGGAGGAGGAAGAGGGGTGGGAGAGTGGGTGGGAAGGCGGGTACAGTGGGAAGAATCAGCATGCTCCTAAAGTTGTAATTATGAAATGTATGAAGCTTGTGTTCCTTAAATAAAAGGTTTCTGGGGGAAAAAAAACCTCAACTAAAATAAAATGAATGCCTGGGCTTTTGGATGCATTCATTACCTTGGTTCCAATAGTATTTTCTGGCTTTCCTAAAATGAACAGATATCACATTGATAGCATAGATAAAGAAAAACAGTGCAAGAGCTTTTCCTCTAACAAAAAGGAAAAGTTTATCTCAGGCAGCTGTACCAATACTGGGGATGCAAGGAAAAAGAGTGGGAGGTAGAGAGCCAGAAACACTAAGCAGACGGAAGACCTCAATTATGGTTAAGACAGAAACCAATTAGGTGAGTACAGTTCATCTGATTACAAACGCACAGATTAACTTCCCCATGGAGGAAAGGGCTGGGGCACAGGGTAAAATCATTGTCCTGGAAAGATGAAGAGGAGCAGAGAGGAAGAGGACGGAAGGGGCACCTGAGACAGCTGTATCTGTGCAGGGCTGGGGACACGACCCAAGCCACTGGTTGTATCACTGTACCATGTGATCCAACCCCATAGCGTTTTAACAAAGAAGCAGAAAATCCCTGTTTGTGAAACATTTGGCAAAGCACAGGCAATAAAGACATTTACTGGAGAATAGAGAACTGTTGAGGAGAAGACGGAGGCAATGTGCCTCCTTTTTAGTGTCTCCAATCTATGCTCAGACTATGCTCAGGGCCCCTTTCCTCCTTGCTTTCCCCTCCTCTATCTTCCATTTCTGGTTTTGTTTTCTTTCCCTAGGGACAGCAGGAGAGCATGGTCTGCATCACAGACCTGAGCCAGCTCATTTGCAAAGCTGAAATGGACCCACACAGCAGGGCCCCGCAGTGCCGTGCCGGGACTGAGGGACCTAGACAGGTGGCTGCTCTCCCAGGACTCAGCCTAACAACCAGCCTCTCACTTGAAAAACCCCTAGAGCTCTACAGAGTCAGACACATAATTTCTCAATTCTATGAAAATCCATTCGTAATCGGCATTCATAGACTCAAGGAAACCTACCAAGGAATTTTCACATGATTCAGTGCTTTTTGAAAAAAAAGAGTCTTTGCAAATTCAATGTCTGGAACAAATATCAACAGCAAAGAATAACAAAGGAATTGGTTTAAAAAAAAAAAATGATGGCGTCCTTTACCTCGTCCTGATCCAACATCTGCTGCTTTAGCTTCTCAGCCAGCTGGCTCTGCTGGTTGATTTCATCATCCTGAAACGAAACATCGTGTTAAATCTGGGTGTTAGCTGTGGCCTCTCAGATGTCCTGGTCTCCAGACTGGCATCACGCTCCAGGATGCAGGCGTTGCTTGCTAATACGGCAGAGAGCGTCGCAAGGCACTCCACAGATGGGAGGCTGGTCTGGGACACTGTTCGCTAACGTGCCTCTTCACCCACCTTCCTCAGCAGGTGCAGCATCTGGACATCTGAGAATCACAACAATCTGCATGGTCAGCCCGATTCCTGCTCATCCAGAAATAAGGCCTCTTAGGTTTGGGGACTGGAAAGAGACTTTGGTGCTACCCCTCCCATTTCAAAGTGGTTAACAATGAATTCCTGATTCCAATTAAAAAGGATATTTTCATTTTGTGACTGTGTGTGCTCTGTCCCAAATCTTATCAGACATCAGTGACCAGGAAAGCTATCAAGCAGTAGGTAGCAAAGACCAGTATTACCACTTCAAGCCTTCCACTTGGACTAGGAAAACATTTACTAGAGAATTAATCTCTTGCACTAGAAGATCTCTTAATGGGAAGTTAATTTTCTGACCAGACTTTTTAAAACCTCTGGGCAGCCAGGAGGAGGGGCTGGCTTAGGGATCCTGCTTAGTGTTTCAGCTGTCACAGGAGCGGGAAAGGCAAAGCCGCGCCTCGCGCACATTTTCTGCCACTAGATGTCGCTGCCACAAAAGCAAGGGTGGCCGCTGCCTCTCCTTAGACAGTGGCCACCCCCAGGGCAGGAGAAGCAGCAGGCATCAAGGCCTAAAGACTGAGTTTCTCAGTCTTCATTGCAATCTTCATGATTTCAAGAGAGATTTTAAGCACAGCCTATAAAGACAGACAACCTGGCTTCACATTTGCCTCTCCCTTGGAAAGGGGAGAAAAACCCATTTGATGACACTTCTGGGATCTAAATCCCAAGCAGAGTAAGATTCAGTTCTGAGTGACTGGGTACCCAGTGCATCTGGTCCTGGCTAGGTGTTTTTATCAGCAGCCCATTAAACACAAACAAACATCAGCGAAACCGAACAGTCCCTGCCTTCCCCAAGAGTGAGTTACAAGGGTTAACCCCTGGGCACAGGTTGCAGGACCTCAGTTTTCCATGGGTTCTTCCCCAGCCTATTTGGTGGTGTTTGCACACAGGTAAGGCAGGTTACAGGTGAGGCAGGTTAACTGGGTGTCACACCCAAGTGCTTGCCATGAAGCGAGAAAAGCCTAAAATCAATAGGACCAGATCTCTATGTCCTTTTCATTTGTGTAGATATCAGCCTTACTTCTCTGCTCAAAGATTCTGTTTCCACTGAACTTTCTGTCACCAGTGTTCCTTTCATGGTTTGAAAAAAAAAAAAAAAAAAACACTCACAGCTTCCTTCCCCAAATCAGATTTCTGGTATGAGAATTGGGGAAATCACACCAGCATGAAACCTCCGAAAAGTGGTACTTCAACAACTAGGAGACTACTTAGCATGCCAGCCACCAGGAACAATTTTGTGTTTATGCTCCTCGGCACATAAATATTAAACAACTTAACATAAAAGACTCAAAGCATTTAACTCCAGGGAGCCACCGTCTCTCCCCTGGGAGGAATGAACTACTGCTACAAGTGATGGAAATAACAGGAGAAGAGAACCGGGGGAATGAAATTGCTGTTCCTACACTGTGCTCATTTCAAGGCCTGAAGACACTGGCTTCCTCGTCAACAGGTGACAAGCTGGGATGCAGGGGCTTGCAAGGCACCAAGGAAAAGCAGGGGCTGGCCCCACACGGGAAGCAAAGCACAGGAAGTGCACAGGACACCAACCACTGGAGCAGAGACACTGTCCAAACTACACTGGCCCTTTACTAAGCACCTTCTGCAGGGCAGGGCCTCACCCCAGGTCTCAGCGTTATCAAGTCACAGGTCTGGTTCCATGCTGCATGCTTCCCCATCGCGTGGCTCTGCCTTTAGGGACCACCTGTCTTTCCATCCCAGCAGAGGTGGCAGAGAGAGATGGAGGTCAGCTGAAAGGAAACTATCGTATTCCTCCCACCACACCCTAAAGAGACTCGTTGGAGTTGACCAGTTGCTCATTTAGAGAGCTGAGGCAAAAACAGTTTGAGCACAGACCTGGGAGTCAAAAGATACACAACTTCTTCGGCATAGCGGCCATTTGGGGGGTGAGCCAATGGAAAAAGGAAGACCTTTCTCTCTGTCTCTCTCTCACTGTCTAACTCTGCCTGTAAAAAAAAAAAAAAAAAGCCTTTAAAAAAAAGATACATAATTTCTTTCCAACTCTGCCACCCATGGGCAAGGTCAACTTGGATAAGTCACAAAATCACTCTGGGCCAATGTCAGCCAGACCCAGACACTTTGGGCTCTACCACTCAATAACCTATGCAGATCTCTCACCCCAACTCATGCATCCTCAAACTCTCAAACCACTCTATCATCAGAACACGCAAATACTTTCCAGAACCTGAGAGGAAGACAAATAAGAATGCCAGCAGGTAAGACACAACCAGGCAGTCCGTGGGCAGGGTTTCCAAGGAAAAACACTGGCTCTGGTGCCTTCTAAGACGGGGGCTTGGGAGCTCAGTTCTCTCCACATCTCTCAGCATCACCCTGTGAGGGACCACGAATCCTAACCTCAAACTATGTTGTGCTTCGTGGGATTCTGAGGTGTATGGTATAGGAAAATGATATAACAGAAAGTGTCTCGGGCTGACCAGCCAGGCCTCCAGCTTCCAACACCTCAGAGGTGGGGTTTTCACCTCTCTGAGCTTGGTCTTCATTGCCACATTTTAGGAACTGGATTCACGATCATGGCACGCTTCTATGTGCAGAGATGGAGCAAAGAATCAGGTTCTCAGGCACGTTTGGGATTCTCTGTGGATTACTAAATTGCACATAGTCTAACCTTTACTATTTAAAAAATACTAGTTCTTTGGAGAAATTAAGCAATTGCATACACTGTTCATTTACCACTGATCTTTTTTTCTTAGTTTGTTTCAGGTTTATGTAAAACACCCAGGTAGATACGGAAGGGAAGATTTTATTAAATGCATTTCAGAAAAGTAGGTGACTCAGTTTGACCCTGCGGTTATAATGCAAACTCCCAGAATCACAAATAGAAACAGCTGGTAAAGGTGATAACAGATTCCAAGCTTCACCAAAAAGAGAGAAGCCAGCAAGATAAATGGCGGCGTTAACATAACAAAGCTGTTTCATTCATGCCAGAGGTGCTCCCAAGCACTCTGAGCTGAACCACAGCAGAAGAGATTAGATCAGACTAAAAATATCAGCAACCTTGATGAAATGCACTGAAAGGATTTAGAATATTCCAAGGGCAACATGCAGAGATCCAGTGCAACATCAATTTCATTTCCTCTGCCTCTGGGATTCCTAACCCAAACTTCAGTGGGGATGAATGGCACCATGTTCTCCAAGGCCTTTTTTCCTCTATTCCAACTTGTGCATTTACGTGACGACTTGAGTCCCAAAGGTTAGTCATAATATTGGACATCATGCATTAGCACTACTTCACTTGAGAGTCTGCCCCTGAATCTGGAGCTTCATGGATAAAGGGAAGCCATCAGACCGTCTACTGTGACCCAATGTTTGGGCCTCACAGCTACATGATTAAATTACAGGTGTTCCCTGACTTAGGAGAGGACCGGGCTGAAGAGTCTGGCTTCACGATGATGCACATGCTCTATGTTCAGTAGAAACCATGCCTTGAATTCTGATCTTTTCCTGACCCAATGACATGCAGTGCAACGCCCACTCGTGATGCTGGGCCATGGCGGCCAGCTCAGCCCCCAGTCAGCCACGTGACCATGAGGGGCCACAACTGATGACACTCTACAGTGTGCTGTTTGCTAAGCTGAGACATTCAGTAGGTGACAAAATGCATTTCCACCTCACAATATGTTCAACATACAATGAGCGTATCTGTACTTAACGCCACTGTAAATCAAGGAGCTTCTATATACACTTGAATTGCGGGAGTCACCCCCTGCCCCAACTAGGGCTACTCTTGGAATTGTTCTGAGGTAAAGCATAAGCCCAGAGAAGCAGTGAAGGGAGACTTAGAGAGGTCCCACACACTCACACACCCCTCCTCTCATGCAGCAATCAACTAAGTCCAATTTCAACAAGACTCCAAACAAGACCTGCCTGTCTCTCTAGGCCAACCCCCTACTCTTCCAATCAAATTTTCACATTAATTTTCCATTCCGTACCAATCAAGCTCCCTGAGTCTGCACAATCAACAGCTAAGGCAGGCATTAGGAAAGCAGAAGCAGAGATGGGTCTGCAGTCCTCCATCCACTTCACAGGGCTTGATGCTGTCTGGACCCATCCATCATCAGACTTTGTACCACAGTAAGAACTAGTTCTCACACCAATCTCTGGCTACAGACCTTATCATCCAGTTGTCGGTAGAGACTGGAGATCTCCTCATCGTACTTCTCCTTCTCTTCTGTAGAGATGCCAGCAACAACAGGAGTGATATTGTCTATGATGGGGGTGTTATCACACGGCTCCAGGTTCTTCTGGTCCTTAGCGCTGATCTGTTCATCCTCAGGCACAGCTTCTCCTGCAAAACACAGCCGAGGGGAGCCTGGGGATTAAAAAGGAATTAAGTGTGCAACACACACACACACCCCAAAGAGTTCTAAAATCATCACTCCCACTGCAAAGCACAGAGGACACAGTAAGCTCTGTTGTCTAGAGTTATAGCTGTGTTTTTTCATTTGATGAGTAAGCATGCAATTAGCTGACCACAGGAAGCGGAATCATTGGAGGAAGAAGATAAAACTCTCCCCCCCTTGTGATGCATCATGGGCCACACAAGACCTTCACTAACCCAACTCGGAGTAATCCTCAAGTTGTGTGCACACTCCTGGCTTTCATGGGGGAATACACTGGGGTATTATTAGAATCACCTTCTCTCCAGTGTTTGATTCAAACTGATCTCTGAGGCATCCTAATTACCAATTAGTTATGTTACTGTTTCCTTATTAGAAAGTCAAGTCAAAGAACACATTGACCATTGTAGAAAACAACACTGCAGAGTCCCAATCCTCTAAGCCTGAGGGTCTCTGAATCTGAGAAAGGAAGTCAGGGTAGGACTGGACTCAGGGGCTCTGACTGACACTGCACAAACACACATTGCACTACCACTCTCTCCCCCTAGGAAGTCGGAATTAATTGGCTCTGCTGGGGAGTTCAAATAGAATAATTTCCTGTGATGTCAGGTAGTTCCTGGGAAAAGGAACAGCAGCTGAGTTAGAATATTGTGCAGACATGTGACATACCAGTACTCAGTCCGCACAGTAACATTTGCTAGGGCTTCAAAAGGAAGCACTGTCAAAGTCAATAATGAAAATTAAGGAACCAGGGGGCAATCCTCAAGCTGACCAATGGCTATCCCAGCCAGAAAACCACCTTGCAAGAACAGAGCACATAAAAAGGAGTCTACAAAAAACACAGGGCTCAAAAATTGCATCTCTCAGATATCTTCTTGGAAAGCAAGCTAAAAACCAAACACACTTCTCCATCACAATGTTTACCATCACCTTCACACTCCTTTCGCTAGACACTGAGTGCCTGCAATGCTCCAAGCCTCATACCAGTTCTCAGCCTGTCAAATGCATTTTGTGAACACTTCCCAGGAATACTATCCTGAGCCAGAGGGAATTTTTCAAAAAAACAATAGAAGAATTGAAATCCTGATCTGTGACTCCATTAACAACATATATATATCATGCCTCAAGGAACCCTCTGAACACTGTACACATTTACATCAATATAAACAAAACGCTTTGTGATGGCTCAGCTTCCCTGCTTACAATTCCATTACTTTGCTTGAGAATCACAAAATAGTATGGTGGGCCTCTGTGTCAAGTAAAATTAACACTCAGTGGTTTCACTTTCGCATCACAGTTCTTGTTTGAAGTAGCAACTTAAAGCAAAACTTAGAATAAACTGTTCCTTTGTGGAATACAAAACTGGGCAGACATTTTTCCTCTTCCAACCAGACCGTACTCTACCTAAGCCTTTTTTCTAAAATTATTGACCTGAAACAAAACCAGAATTTCAGAGTAGCTCTTGAACTGAACCTGAACCAAATCAATATTTCATTCAGTTCCAATTCCTGGCTTAAAGCATCCATTAACAACTTTAGTGTGCAGACTGGATATCATCCAATTAAAGGATCTATATTCTCTACAGCCTGCTAAATCCATGGGCTAGGAAAGTAGTGCCGTGTTCCCTAGTTGTTTTTTTGTGTCTCTTCTTGCGGTCCTCAAAACAGTTAAGAGAATGAGAGAGAGAGGAAAGAGATTTTCTAACCACACAAATAATTCAGGACACACTCTCAACATAAACAACTCAAGCAATACAGACCATCCCTTGAAACTTGAATGTGTTCCTTCCCCTTTCCCTCCTAATTCTGTTCTTTCCTGAGATAAACTCACTGATGCTTTGGTAAACGTCCTCCCTCCTTTGGGACTGTGACTGTATCTCCGACTTTTCCCTTCTAGCTTCTGCGGTTTGGGAACAGGGTAGTTTATTACAGCATGATTCATGGAAAAATGGAATGAAAAGATTAAGTTTACAATGGTGCCCAAAAAATGGAAATCCATGCAGAGTTTATCCGTAATACACATATTTTTCATACAATTTTTGAAGATCCCCCCTTGTACATGAATTTCAAAATATTTTTGCACAAAAATAAAATCAGGGCTTTAAAAAAAATTTTATTTATGTTATATATGTGAAAAGCAGCGATACAGAGAGACAGGCAGATCTCCCACCTGTTGGTTCACTCCCAAAATGCCCGCAACAGCCAGGGCTGGGCAAGGCCTGGAACTCAATCCAGGCCTCCTGTATGAGTGGCAGAAACCCATGTATTCGGCTGGAAGCAGGAATGGAGCCAGTACTCGAACCCAGGCATTCATTCTGATGTGCAAAGCAGATGTCCCAAATGGTGTCATAATCACTAGGCCAAACACCCAACTTTAAACTTATCTTTTAATTCCATTTTTCCATGAACTTTATGAAATACCCTCATAAGATGAAGGTGAAATTCTTAATTTACCAGATGGAATATGCTCACCTTATCCATAGGCCCCAATTAAAGAGGTAAGATACAAAGTAAAATCCAGAAGAGACAGATTCCCTGGGTTCTTTGGTTCCAAACGGCCAGAGAGACCAGGAGACCACAAGACTGGGGCAAGCAAAAAGGGTTGCAAAGCCTGCGTTTTCATTTGCCCGTGTGGGAGGGGTCAGAGACAAGCCCCTACAACCTTAGCAAGCTAGCAGCTGCTGGAACCAAAGCCACAGGCCTGACTCCTCTAGGCTGCGCTCTTCTCCCCACGGGGTAGAACAGCATCAGCAAGGAGCAGGGTTGTCCCAGATTTCAGGGATCCAACAAGCTAGCTGCTGCAACAGGCAGCCTGAAAGTGATCAGCCGACTCCTACCGGCAGCTCCGTGCTGTGGCGGAGCTACGGCTACCCTGCACCTGTTACACAACAGGCCTGTTCATGCAAGCCCAGCTTCTGCTCCCCTCTTGGTTTGCTATTCGCAAAGGAGAAGACAGAATTATGCCTGGGTTGCAGGAAAATGCACAAGAGGTGTTATTATCCAAAGTCCATCTCTTATTCTATCCTCTCCCTGACAAATTCACAAATTTTTAAGCTGGGAAGATAATTTTTTAACTTATTATGGCATTAGTGTTTCTGAGGTCTTCATCATACCTTTGTGATGGGAGCTCAATTCCAAAACTACAACACAATATAGCTATGCAAGTCCCCCTTGCAGATTTATTATTATTATTATTATTAAAACAATATTCGCAACCTATAGCAGACTTTCTGGCTTCTCTGCTGCAGTTACCTGAATCAAAGCACAGACAGGGCCCCCACTGAGTGACATCTACAGAGCAAGCTCTCCGGGTTTGAATTGTAAAGGTCAGGCAGTCAGGACTATTCTCCGCAGCAGCCGTTCAGAGGGAGAAGAACAAAGCGGCAACACGCACCAACAAAAGCACCATGGTTCCTGCTCTGGGAAGAACCAAGAGCTCCAAACACAGCTGCCCTTCAAAGGACAGGGAAAATGACTTCCAGGAGTGACCCTGGTACCTACACTGTGCAGCTCAGAAAGCTGTCTGGGGACTGTAAATCCCCAACACTATGTAAGACCTGACACCAGGCAATCGGTCTCCATGGCAATCTCCCCACCTTCCCGGGGATACTCCCGGCTCTGCAGTGGCCCGTGTCTCTGGAGAAACCTCGAGCCAGGTGATTATGGGAAAACCAGATGTGACAAGGAGGACAGCGGCAAAGAGGCACTGGATGAAGAACACCCTGAGATCGGCGGGAGGAAAAGGATCACTGGTTGAGGACTGGCACCTGTTTTTATTCCCTTCCAAGTTAAATGCAGACTGCTCCTAGCCTAGCCTCTCGGGCTTGTACCTGCAGCAGCAGGGAGAGAGCCTGCATCACTGTAAAGCATCGGCTTTCCCAGAGTGGAAGGCTTCCCCCCGCCAGCCACCTTCCCCTTTTTTAAAAAAGCATCCTGGCATTTACCATTGTCAGATGTAATTACCTTTAAGGACTAAAAAGATTTGTGTTTACACCAGCATGTTCACTCAGATCCTACCTAGACGGCTTGCAGAACATTCTAATTATAAAATGCAAACCCCCAGAGAGCAGAAATACCATTTCTGTAAAAACTAGAAATCCATCCACTGCACAGACAGGAATGACAGACTAATCAAAAAATTCTCATTAGGTCTATTAGTTAAAAATTCTAAAATGGGGTTTTTTTTTCCTTAAAAAAAAGCATTAGACTGCCAGTAATTCATTAAAATTTCACACATGAAATAGCAACAAGCTAGTTATCCTTTTCATAAGTTGAGTGCCCGCAGCCTCCGGAGAACACGGGGAGGTAATTGCATTCCCTCGGACACTGCGGGGCACAGATTTGCTAGTCACTCACGGCGTCCGCCAGGAGCCACAGCAGATCTGGCAAACGAAGGGCCTTCTCTTAATACCAATTAAACAGGCCCAGTGGCAGACCTAATGGTAGGCGATTTCTCTGTCAAAGAAACGAAAAGGAAAACCTTTAAGTTGCCAGATGGGTAAGAGCAGCTGGCTACAAGATGTCATTATATAAAGGGGAAGTTACAAAAATATTCTTTTATGAGATTATTTTGCATGCAAATAACATCTTTCACCCTAGTTCCTAAAAATACTGTAAGCAGCTTAAAACATTCTCTAATCCCCTCTAGAGTAATTTTCTAATAAGCTCGTCACCCAGGACCCTACATCCTCTTTACACTCACGACCTAATAAACAGGCCTCCTCACTCTTTTTTTTACTACAGTTTGGTTGTGCTCTGTGAAAAAGGAAGATGACCTCACAAATTAGATTTCCCAAATAAATGCTAATTTCTTAGAGCCCACTATAATCATGACTCTGAAAGGGGCCCAGCATCTACAAGTTTCAAGCTAAAAGAGCAAACTGCATTCTAGCAATGGAGGCCCCCCAGTGCCACCAAGCCCCGGACGAGACCAGAGGCTACAGATCCGG